CGAGAGGCCTTGGCTAGACAGGAAATAATCTAGAGTGGATTTGGTCTTCTTGTTTCTGTAGGTGGCGGTCGGCGGCACAAGCAGGGTCATCGTGGACCTGGACAGAAACTCCGCTTGGGCCAACCGAGCGGGGGCTAGGTTAAAATCCCCCGCAACCAAAACTGGATGGGTCAAATCATCCTGAAGTTGGCCTATGGCGGCCAGAAGTTTTAAATTGGTCTCGGAGAGACCAGCAGCAGCCTGAAAGTAGGTACTACATATGGCGAACTTCGGGACCCCAGGAAGTTCAAGCAACACCCCCGATAATCGAGCGGGGTCGAAAGCGGCAGAAAAAGTGATCGACTGGACCCCCAGGTCCAAGCCATCCCGAATCAAAATCGCAACTCCCGAAACCGACTCATTATTCTCACTCGTGGCTGCAGGCGTGATGTAAGCCAGCCACCCCTGGGCCGAGCACCATTGTACCTGACGCACAATGCTATCTCCGTCGGCAAGCTTACACTCCTGAGCACAGATGATCGTGACTGCACTAGACTGCGGCGAAAGAACAAACTTGCGAACAGCAGGCCAGCAGGAACCATTGATAGTAGCGATCTTATAAGTGTTACCCTGGCGGCTTCTGGCCCTGGGTGGCCGCGAGCGCCGCAGCCTCGGCCGCCGCCTTGACCCTCTTGGTCTCGGGGCCTGACTCACTCTGGATCTTGGCCATGCCCTGGGCGACCTCGGACAGCGCAGCAGCCGCACGGCGGCGGCCTTCCGACGTGTCCATGGCCTGCGCCTCTGCCATGGTCTCCAGCTCCTTGTCGTCGGCAGGAGTGGGGACGTGCTGGCCTGGGATAGGCGCGGGCGTCTGACTTGCCTGGCCATCATCAGGGCTCTCTCCAACTGCAGGGAAGCCGTCGATGATGACCCCGCGCGGGGCCGCCGCCGCAGGCGGGCCGCCACCTGCTGGCGCGCCCGAGGCCTGGGATGCGACGTGTTGCTGCTGCAAGGTGTCGAACATGGCGGCCAGCTCCGATACTTTGTCTCGTAGTTCAGGTGGGGCCAGTCCTCCCTGTGGCATTCTGGCGGATATAACTCCCTGAATGGTGGTGAGCAAATCTTCAGCTTTGGATGCCTCATACGCAGCCGCCTGGGTGGCCGCATTGAGCTGTGTCTCCAGCGTTTGCACTTCTTTTGAATTAGCTTCGATCTCCTCGACCAGCTTGCCGTGATATTCACTTGCCTCGACAATTGTGGTGACCAGCTCGCTGGCCTCCTGCTTCTGCGACTGCAACCTCTGGCGCAACACCTGGAGCTGATCTGACAAGGATTGTGCTTGCTGCTCCAGGCTCTTGGCTGACAACGCCTGCGCCTTGGCGAACTTGAGCTTGCCCAACGCCGCCTTGTGCTCCTCTCCGTCTGGCTTCCACTTCTTCCAGAAGGTGACTTGAGCTTGAGCCAGGGCGACTGGGTCGTCAGCGGGAACTGCATCCTCGAAAGTGACCACTCGGCCGCCTCCGCGCCCCAGGCCTGGTGGGCGCTCTGGACCGCGGGGGCCTTTCCTCCAGCGTCCTGGCTTGGCGGGCTCCTCCTCGACGTCAGGCCGAACATCCTGGGGGCCACCTCCACCACCTTGGGGTCGAGCTGGGGGACCATGATCCCCGCCCTGCTTGAAACGGCTGCCACACTGCATACAATGACGAGAATTCGCCGAGCACCAAGCCCAGCCTTTGCAGCCCCGCTTCGGGCAGACCATGTACTTCTTTTGCTGCTGGGCGGGCATCTTCTGATGGCGGCACGCTGGCGCACGCACACGAGAGGCCCTATGGCAGCACTGATGCGGGTCGTGATTGTGCCTCTGCCTGGGGCTGACCAGGCAGGCACGGGGCAGAGCAAGCAAGCTTGGGCCCCAGCACCCAGGGCCTGCCCTGGATGGCAATGCTGAGACCTGCACCTCCCGCGGTGTGGTCAGGTCTTGAGCCAGGAGGTGGAAGAGGAGGAGGAGGAGGAGGAGGAGGAGGAAGAGGAGGAGGAGGAGGACCCCCTCTCCCTCCAACTTCTGGTGGTGGTTGTGGAAAACAGTCCCCTCATACGAACGCCCGCCGCGGCTGCCGAATTTATCGAAGCAGTTCGCCCGCCGCAGGCGCCGATCTTCGACAAAACCATGTGGATGGGGGTCGCGGGGCGGGTCGTCGGTCCTCTGCGAGTCGCTAGGTTCTAGATCAAGTTTGAAATGGCCGACCGAAGGCACAGACTTTTCTGCTCGACCAGACCGCCGCTGTAAGGTTTGTTCGTGGTGGGGTGGGGCGGGGGCAGAATACTTACTCTTGCTGGATAGCGGGTGAGTCAAGAATGAGTCGTGGGTTGGTGGCGGAGCGGGTGACGACGACAACATGCAGGCCAAGAGCAGCTACCATCCGCAACGCGGTATCCCGCTACAGCCACGCACCCAGGACAGTGTAAGACCGATCGCCCCCATCTCTGACATCGAGCAATACAGCACGAAGGGTGCCCTCGACGTTCATATGCGACACATCTACGACCCATGTGTGTGTGTCTGTGCGTGCGTGCGTGCGTGCGTGCGTGCGTGCGTGCGTGCGTGTATGTGTGTGTGTGTGTGTTTGTGTGTGTGCGTGTGTGCGTGTGTGTCTGGGCCCCATGGGTCTTGAAAACGTTTTTGGCCCACCCGCGACCCACCCGAGATCTACCCCCATCATTTTGAAACACTGTCGCCGTCTGCAGGCGTCTTCATTTCAGCGAGCGGGCCGCGCAGAGCCCTGGGCACGAGGCCAGGGCGCGAGTGCGGGGGCTGAGCTGCTGCTATGACGTGGGCCCCTGGGCACCTCCTCTCGGGCCGAGCGAAAGGAGGGGATAGGGAAAGGGTTGGGTACGAAATCTGCTGCATGCAGCTGGTTTCGGCCCCGCCGCTGGGCCCATTCCTCGATACATGGGCGCCTCCCGGCGCCGGGAGGCGCTGGGAAAATCAGCTACGTGAGCTGATTCTCCACCCTGTCCTTTGCTATCCCCCCCCTTCGTTCCCCCCGATCCTCCTCCTCCTCCTCCTCCTCCTCCTCCTCCTCCTCCTCCTCTCTCCTCTTCCTCTTCTCGCAGCCCCTCGCCTCCTCGCCTTCATCCTCCCTCTATTCCTCTCCCCTCTGTCTGGTCTTTCGTGCGTCGCATTCTTGCTGATGGCCCTGCAGCCCGAGACAGGCCTCCAGACATCAGCAGCTCTGAGCAACACAACTCAGGACTGAAAAATTATGCTGACGGAGTTCCCCACATAAAGAGATTAACGGTTTCGTGGGACCCATTTTCTTGATGCCCTCCTCGCTTTGGCGGGGCCCCGCTGGAAGGGGGGAGGGCTACGAAACCTGGCGAAGAGTAATGCTTTCCGCGACCCTCCTCGTTCAGGCGGGGCCTCCCTGGAGGGGTGGGAGGGGCACGAAACCATGTAAATAGTATGGTTTCCGATACCCTCCTCGCTCAGGCGGGGCCTCCCTGGAGGGGTGGGAGGGGCACGAAACCATGTAAATAGTATGGTATTCCGATACCCTCCTCGCTCAGGCGGGGCCTCCCTGGAGGGGTGGGAGGGGCACGAAACCATGTAAATAGTATGGTATTCCGATACCCTCCTCGCTCAGGCGGGGCCTCCCTGGAGGGGTGGGAGGGGCACGAAACCATGTAAATAGTATGGTATTCCGATACCCTCCTCGCTCAGGCGGGGCCTCCCTGGAGGGGTGGGAGGGGCACGAAACCATGTAAATAGTATGGTTTTCGGATACCCTCCTCGCTCAGGCGGGGCCTCCCTGGAGGGGTGGGAGGGGCACGAAACCATGTAAATAGTATGGTTTTCCGATACCCTCCTCGCTCAGGCGGGGCCTCCCTGGAGGGTGGGAGGGGCACGAAACCATGTAAATAGTATGGTTTTCGGATACCCTCCTCGCTCAGGCGGGGCCTCCCTGGAGGGGTGGGAGGGGCACGAAACCATGTAAATAGTATGGTATTCCGATACCCTCCTCGCTCAGGCGGGGCCTCCCTGGAGGGGTGGGAGGGGCACGAAACCATGTAAATAGTATGGTTTTCCGATACCCTCCTCGCTCAGGCGGGGCCTCCCTGGAGGGGTGGGAGGGGCACGAAACCATGTAAATAGTATGGTTTTCCGATACCCTCCTCGCTCAGGCGGGGCCTCCCTGGAGGGGTGGGAGGGGCACGAAACCATGTAAATAGTATGGTTTTCCGATACCCTCCTCGCTCAGGCGGGGCCTCCCTGGAGGGGTGGGAGGGGCACGAAACCATGTAAATAGTATGGTTTTCCGATACCCTCCTCGCTCAGGCGGGGCCTCCCTGGAGGGGTGGGAGGGGCACGAAACCATGTAAATAGTATGGTATTCCGATACCCTCCTCGCTCAGGCGGGGCCTCCCTGGAGGGGTGGGAGGGGCACGAAACCATGTAATGCTCAGGTGGGAGGGGCACGAAACCATGTAAATAGTATGGTATTCCGATACCCTCCTCGCTCAGGCGGGGCCTCCCTGGAGGGGTGGGAGGGGCACGAAACCATGTAAATAATATGGTATTCCGATACCCTCCTCGCTCAGGCGGGGCCTCCCTGCAGGGGTGGGAGGGGCAGGAAACAATGTAAATAGTATGGTTCTCCCTGGTATGGTATGGTATGGTATGTGTGGTAGGAACTATGGTATGGTATGGTGTGTGTGGTAGGAATAATATTGTGCTGTATGGAAGATGGAGCGGGAGGTGGGTGGGAAGGAGAGGGTGTTCTGGGAAAACAAGAACCCCACTCAGGATGTGGGGAAATACATACAGACACAATTAATCGTCCACTCCCAGGCAAACATAGGAAAATATGGGAAGTGTGGGGGAAGACGAACACCCAGAACATATGCGAAAATATATGGGAATCCTGTTATCTGTGTGTATTTATTTTTGTGTCCCAGGGCCCCTTCAACAACGTCGCAGTGATTTCGGGAGGCCTGGGCAGGTGTCGGAGCAGAACATCCCCATGGTCGCCTTCGTCGGGTGGCGGTTTCTGCCCATCTTGCCTCGGCCTCAAGCTAGGCTCCTGACGTACGTCGGCGCGGGCATCGACCTGCCGCACATCCCCGAGCCTACGAAGCAGGCGCGTGGGTGTTCGGAAGAGCCGCGGTGCGGACATAGCCAACCGAGGGGAGCGGCGAGGATTGTCGAGAGCATCTTGGCCTCCGGCGAGGTTCTAGGGCCGAAGTGTCTGAGCTCGTGTTGCCCCTACTGCCGCCATGCCGACGGCGACGGTCTTGTCAGGTTTTCGCCACCTGGGGCGACCTCGTCGCCACGGGCGTATCCGCCAGGAGATTCTGGCCAGAACTCCCATCAGGATGTCGAGGACGAGGACCCAGACCTCCAGCCTTAGACAACTCGCTTTGGATTTTTTACGCCGAATCGGCTTCTGGACGCTGCTTACGCGTGCCCCCAGACAGTTAACTAAAGGTTCTCAGGGTCAAGCACCGCTCCCCGTGAAGTCGTGGAGAGTTCCGGGGGCCAGCGATTCGAATCGAGTAGTCGGAGGTCTATTCTAGTGAGGGTCGCGGTCGGTTTCGCAGCGCACGTTGCTATTCAAAACATGACGTCGTCTGCCCAGGACCACTGGTTGTCCATTTATAAACAGAATTCGTTTCTGGGCGACGTCGATCGTGCCAACCTCCACACCCTCCTGCCCCTGTCCACCTCCCCCCCCCCCCCTCCTCGCCTCCATCTCCTTCCCGCGATCTCCATCCCCTCCCGCCTACTTCTCGCCCTCTTCCTTCTCCCTTATTTCTTCCCCTCGGACTCTTCAGAACCCCAGACCGTCCCTCATAATTAATATGCTTTCGTAGCATCTAGAACTCCGTTCGTGTGCGAAGCCTGGCTCGGGGCCTGTGTAATCCATCAGCGCTCTGCGCCAGCCCCCCGAGCATCGGCCATGCCAGGGGGGGAGGGGTTGCGCCGTCTGGGGCCTCTAGACTCCGCTACCCGGGAGCGCCGCGACGACCGCGAGGATCAGCTTCGCCGGCCGCCATCGCGGCGCCCGCGCGCCTCGCGGCGCCCCGCGTCACGATGCGTCGAGCCAGGGCGGCTGGCTGCCCGCCGCCTGCCGGCGCGTTGGCCGCCGCGCCAGCGTCGCCGTCCGGCGCCGCGCCGTCGCCTCGCCCGCGGGCCGCCCGCCCCCTGGTGCGCCGCCTAGCGCAGGCTGGCCGCCTTGCGGAGCTGGCGCGCCGTGGCCGCGTGCATGCCGCAGGTCAGGACCTCGTAGGCCCGCGCCAGCTCCCGCGGCTGCTGGTCCTCAGGCATGCGTTGCACCTGCCCGAGCAGCCAGAGGCGGGCCTCAGCGCCGAGCCGCCCCCCCCGCCTCGAGAACGAAGGGCGTCAGCCAGGCGCCCGGGAAGGGGCGTGCTTCTCCCGCTTGTCGCGCCTGCTGGCTTCGCCGTCAGGCTCGCAGCCACGTGCAGCTCGGCCTGTGTGCCAGCTGCGGGGTGGCGGACAGAGACGTCGAGCCACCGGGCCCCGTCGTCTTTCTGGTATTCCAGGTCCAGGATGTCGCGCTCGAGCTGGCCGTCTGGTCGCTGGCGGCCCCAAGTCGGCACCCTCTGCTCGAGGAGAGGCCGCTCGCCGCGCCAGCGGTGCATGGAGGAGCCCGGCGCGCTCCGGTTGAGTCCGCCGTGGCGCACCAGCACTCCCCCGCCCAGCTGGCAAGTCAGGGCGTGGTAGCTGCGCTGGTCCAGACACCCGGGCGCAGCGGGCGGCTCCGCCGCCGCGAGCTCTTGCTGGCTGAGCTCCGCGCTCTGAAGCTGCAGCTGCCGCCGGGTGCTGGTCTCCCAGTGGGCGTCAGGAGGAGCAGGCAGGAGGAGGAGGAGGAGGAGGAGGAGGAAGAGGAGGAAGAGGACGAGGAACGCTGCAGCCCTCGCAGCTGAAGTTGGGTGAACGTGGCAGAGAAGGGGAGGAGGAGTCTGCGGATGTTTTCGGCAGCCTCGGGGTGTCTTCGTCCGCTCTGAAATGGTATGGTTGGGAGAGCCAATCGTAAGGCAGGAATAATGGCGTACGGCAGAGGCAAGCGGGTTGGGACCAGGGTGGCGGGGAGGAGGAGGAGGAGGAGGAGGAGGAGGAGGAGGAAGCATGTCCTTTTTTCCACGCCACGGATCAACCAGACTGCTGCGTCCTGAGGATCAGAAATCGTGCCAGAACGCCATTTTTTGGACCTTCAACACCGCGAATCAACATAACATAACTGTTGCACCCGCATAAGCTTGAATTCTTACAAAACGCAGTTTCTGGTACGTTGATCATGGAATCAGTGGAACTCTGGATTTTTGTTTATGTGAGCGGCGCTACGGCGAGAACCGCATTTGGCAAATGAACCACCCTCAACCCGTGAAGCCGTTGCGGATGTTTGAAACGAATGTGCGCGGCGCTAAGGCGAGAGCAACATGTTGTTAACGACCCGTCCTCAATCAGCGCAATTCTTGCAAATGGTTACAACGAATGTGCGCGGCGCTAAAGCGGGAGCCACATTTTGAAAACGACCCGCCCTCAATCCGCGAAGTTCTTGCAATTTTTGAAATCGAACGTGCGCGGCGCTGCAGCGAGAGCCACATTTTGAAAACGACCCGCCCTCAATCCGTGAATCTCTTTCACTTTTTTACAAGCGAATGCGCGCGGCGCTAAGTCGAGAACCACATGTTGAAAACCACCCGCCCTTCATCAGTGAAACTGTTGTCACTGTTTAGGCTTCAGAGTCATAAATGGTGAGGAAGTCTCGGGCGAAATGCCTGGCCCGCCCTAAGAGCTAGCCTCGGGGGGCGACAGGGAAAAGTTACTGATAAGGAACAGTAAAAGGGGAGGAGGAGGAGGCGGAGGAGGAGGAGGAGGAGGAGGAGGAGGAGGATGGGTGGAAGGGGGGTGGAAGGGGGAGGGAGGGTGGCGGTGATGGTATTCATAGCGTAGGGGAGCACGTCCCGAGCAGAGCAGCACGCACCAAGACCACGACGACGCGGGCGACGACGACGGCGACGATGGAGGTGAGGCGCACGGAAAGGAGGGAGGGGAGGGGGAGGAGGACGGGGGAGAGGGAGGGGAGGCGGCGCTGGGAAATGCAGCGGGATGAGGGGTAGGGGTCGGGGTGGGAGGAGCGGGGGGGAGGTGGCACGCGGGAGGGGGACTCTGAGGAGGCGAGGCGATACGGGAATCAGGGGACAGCGGGGGAGAGGAGCATGAAGGGAGACACTGAGGACGTGGAGAAGTGGCACGGGGAATACGTCCAGGCGTTGGTCAGGCTTTTCGACGCTCGCAAGGCGGAGGCGGGCTGGCCAGATGCAGTGCTGGAGGTGTCGTAGCGGTGGCGGCAAAAAGGCCTGCGCTGAGAGACCACCACCCTTGGCGAAAGTGCATCCGGCCAGGCCTTCATCCCGATACGTTCTCGTCACCGCAGTCCCCATCAATGAGCACACCACCAGATCTCAACCGTAGTATGAGTCGACACTGGATGGCATAGTTTGTGCACGGTGCTCTGTATTTGTGCGTCCACTTGCACGTCCTCCATGAACATCGTCCGCCTTGCTGGTTGCAGCTCTTTGTCAGATCATCATGCCATGTGTGGGGGGGCATGGGGCTATGGATAAGCGGTCGTCATTCGGCAGTCTTGTACGTATTTGTCTAGAGTCTTTTACCCCCTTGGTCTGCCCCCCCTGAGTTCCTGCGTGGATTAGTCGATTGGGTCGGTTGTTTGATTGGCTGATTGGTTGGCAGGCTGGCAGCTCGGCCAGTTCGCCGGCTGTCTGGACGGACGGTTCGGTGGTTGGTTGGTGGGCTCGTCAGCAGGCTTGCTGGTGCGTGCTGGGTGGCTGGCATGTTCGAAGAGTGGGTCCAATGTTGTTTCACCAGGGTCGTGGCTTCGGGAGCGCGGATCCGCAGTTTTCTATAAAGGGATCGTTGCCTCGGGAGTGCGGGTCCAGGGGTTGTTGCAAGGAATCGTGGCCTCGAATGCGCGCATCCACTTTTCTGTATCCGAGATCGTCCCTTCGGCAGCGCGGATGCATACATTTTGAGCATGCGGCGTGGCCTCGTCAGCGCGTGCCCATATTCCCCCCGCCAGTGCTTACTTTAAATGGCTTCCTTCAGGGAGCTGGACGGGTTCGGCGGGGTTCCGGCTGGTGGCCCGCTGGTGGCCGCGCGCAACAGGATGGGTCCCGCTTTCGGCTCGTGGCCGCTTGATGACCGCCCGTTGACCCCCCGTGGCCGCCCGTGGGCAACACGTGGCCGCCCAAGGTCGCCATACCGGAGCTTGCAGCACACGGCTTTCAGCGCATCGTTTTCGCCACGCAGCTTGCGCCACCCATCTGACGCATCACACAGTAGCCTGCGCCACACATCTTGCACCACATCTTCTACATCACATAGCTTGCGCCACATGTGTCGCACCACGCAGGTTGCACTGCATGTCCTGCACCACTTAGCTTACAGGACATGCTTGCACCACATCTATTGCACCACGTGTATTGCACCACATAGCGTACACCACGTATCTTGCAATACATAGTTTCCGTAGCCATTTGGGCTCAAACCTCACTTGGACCCCGACCGGGGTCCAAAGGGGGTGAGAGCCCTGTAGCCTGTCTGGCTCAGTGGCGCCGCCGGCGCGCGGCGGGTTGGGGGTGGGAGCAGGCACGCCGTTAGCCTCGGCGCGCGGTGCAAAATCCGTCGGTTCGACGGTGCCTCGGCCGCATCCCCCCCCCTCTCGCATCCACGGCTTGCGGCGGCGGGCCACCAGCTGTGCTCCCCAGGGGCGGGCGTTGGTGCTCGTGCGGCGCTGCTTGCCGGGGGCCGCCGCCCGTGGTCGGGATCTTCCTCTTCAAAGTGGGCGCCTGCCTGCGGGGTGCCGGCCGATGAGCGCGCTGGGCTCGACGAGCGCGGCGGCCGTGGCGGCTGGAGCGAGCGCGCCGAGGGCGGGAGCTCCTGGCCCTCGTGCGGCCGGCGGTGGCGGAGCCCGAGGCCGAGCAGGGGCCCGGGAAGGCGCTGCGGAGCGAGGCCCAGCCGCACGTGAACCCCGAGCGAGGCGCGGGGCGGCGTGGCCGTGGCTCACGCGACCCAGCCAGCTCCTGGAGAATGGCGAGTGTCGAGGCGCTGTGCCAGGGCGCGACCGTCGCGCCGTTGCGAGGGCACCAGTGGATGCATCGCTCCCTTCGCGGCGCTCGTGGACGGCGGCGACGAGGATGACGACGCCCCCGTGGGAGCGATGACCGTAGAGGGGAAGGGCGAGGTGGGGATTTCGCCTGCCGCGCGCACCGTCGGCGGGAGCGTCGACGATGAGGATGCGGTGCTCGACGTGGCGGTGGCTCGGGCACAGGCGGAACGCGCAGGAGAGGGCTGCGGCCAGTGGCTCCAGGCGCCTTCAAGGCTACCAAGTGGGACCTAGCCCAGAAAATGGCCCACATCTCCGCGGCGGCCTGGAAGCAGCAGCGGCTGAGCGGCGCGGGCGCGCGGCATTTCTCCCGCTGGCGGCGTTGTGCGTGCAGGGCTGAGGTCGACATCTGCGCCGCGCGCCGCCCGCGGAGCTCCCGTGCGATGGAGATGGAGCAAAAGAGTGCCCTGGAGTGCCCTGGCGAGACGGGGAGGCGCAGCGGCCACGAGGAGTGCGGCATTGGCTGGTGCTGGGGTGTGTGGTCCGCGTAAAACAAAACAACATTGCAATCCATAGCTTGCACCGCATAGCTTGCACCACCGCTTGCACCATACAGCGCAACAGCGTCCTTTTTGTGACCATGTTGGCAAACATGTTTCGCCAGCGGTCGTGACAAGGGATTTCGGGCCCACTTGTTCTCTTACTAGGAATCGTGGTTTCGGGTCCGTGGCACCACAGGTTACTAACAAGGGTGGTTTGTTTCGGGGTCGCGGGCCAACCGGTATTGCACGTGGACCATTGTCTAAGGAGCACGGGCCCGCAATATCTTACAAGAGACGGCGCCCGCCCCCAGCAAGCTGCTCCGTGTCTCTTACCTGGGATCGTGGTCTCGAGGGAGGTTAGCCTCCGGAGCATGGAGGCACCAATGTTGCATGAGGAGCCGTGGTTCTGGGAGCGCGGAACAATTGTTCGCGCGAGCAGATCGCGCCTGCTGGGGAGCGGCCCCAGCGATTGACAAGGCGCCGTTGCTGCGGGAGGGCGGATATACATTTGTTTAGTTTTGGTGCGTTCATTATTTGTCTGGATTTGGGGATTGCGGCGCGCGGGGCCGCATTCGTTTTCGAGGCGTCGTGGCATTCGACGAGCGATGTTTGGAAGACTTTGAAGCGCGCCATCATCGCATCCAGAAGTCTGAAGACGTGCTTCGGCATGGAAACATATTATTTCGGCCGCGTGTGGTCGCGCGATCACAGAAATTTTGAACCTGGGGAACCAATCAGGTCTGCCGTGAACAGTTTGGCTCATCATGCAAGGTTCTCATGCAAACCGAATGGATTCCGCTGTTCTGTGACAGTCATGTCAGTTTGGCTTTTCAGAAATCGTGCGCTCGCACGCGCAAGTGCGCATCAGATATCCTACGGCCGTGGCGCGGCATGGAGCTGTTCCCGTGTCATGGCGGACGATTGCCCGTGGAAGAAGCACGGCCAGCGAACGCAGGATCGGCGACGAACGAGCGGCAGATCGTCGGAACGCCATGTGCCAGCAAAGCGGCGGGGCCAAACAGCAAGTGGGCAGGCGCCAGGGATGGACCAGTCTGTGGCAGCGGGGTGCGGGTCGACCGGGGTGCCCCAGGTTCAAAGTTGGCACGATCATCCAGAACGCAAGCCTATCGGGTGCAGAGTGACATGTATATGAGTCCCAAGGCAGTTGAGGAAGCCAAGGACGCGGTCAAGAAAAGGGAGCAGAAGGAAGGGGCCTGAAGACCGACACCGTCAGTGGAGGGGCAGATCAGGAAAGTGCAGGACAATATCCCACACCAGCAGGCCACGCACCAGAAGACACTGGACTTCGAGGCTGGGTGCGAGGATGCGATAACGAAAGCAGCAAGGGATGCGACGGCGACGGAGCCCGAGAACCTACGCGAGGAGCAGGGGACGCTGCGCGAGCGGGTCGACATCGGCCCCGCGCCAAGGCGCAAAAGAAGGAAGACCTCTTGTTCAGGGCAAATTTGGAGCAGGTGCACGCGCCGCTGGACAGACAGACAGACAGACAGACAGACAGACAGACAGACAGACAGACAGACAGACAGACAGACAGAACCCGCGGCGATGCACCCACGAGGGGTGCGGCGGGTGGGCGCCGGGGCGCCGATCAGGGTTGGCCGCTCAGAAACAGCCGGAGTCGGAGCGGCAAGAGCGGGAGTCGGGAAGAGTCGGAGACGGCAACAGAGCCGGGGTCGGAAAGAGCCCGGAACTTGACAATGGCTCGGGGGCTGGAGTCGGAGAGGTGCGAGCCGGAGCCGGAACAAAAGAGGGATTGGAGTCTGAGAGGTGCCACCGAAAGTGCGACCCCATATCTTGCCAATGATCCGTCGACGCGGCATCGAGGACAGCTGCGGCACCCATGTCGTCACACCGCATCGTATATTCGACATGTTTTTTAAATGTCATCGATCCATCTGGTTTTGGGTCGTCCCGTCTTCCGCCTCGCATGGTATGCGGGGTCATGTGGTGGCGTCTAAAGAATTACCTGTCGAATCCATTCGTGCTCTCCTGCTGCACTCAACTTCCGTACCCATTGCCATCTCTTCTGCTGCACTGTATAGACCCAGTCGTTGATCCGCAGTCGTGGCATTGCTGCTTCTGCTGCGCGTGTGGCCCTCTTGATCCAATCAACCCACGGCTCCAATTCAGCGGCGTTCACATCGTCATCGACATCATCATGCATACTCGTCGCGGACTCTGGCGGCATGCTGCCGACGTCACGCCCGTCGTCATCGTTGGAGGTCTGGTGGCGAAGGTCGGACCCGTCAGTCGTCTGATGCTCGGGTGGTGGTTGTGATACTTGTGCCACGTTTGTGGAGGTGCGCCGTGGTATTCGCACAATCATGCGAAGCATTTGTTGTGTTCGCTGGAGTCGGCGTGCTAATTCGGTCGTCAACGTCCAAGCTTCGCAACCATACACAATAGTCGGCGTGACGGTTGCGTGAAAGAGGTGAAGCCGGTCTGATTGTGAATAAGTTGGGCCAGTATGTTTTTGTTTCAATATGTGAAACTTTCGCCACGTGGTGGAAATGCGGTTTTTATTTCCGTCGCGTGGGGCGTTGAGTGCTGTAGCAGCCGCCCTAAGTTCTTCGTGCTACGGTATGGCGGTAACACTTCGATCTTCATGTCAAGCACGTGCACGCGGTCGGGTGGGCGTGTGTTGCGTGGTGGT